TATAGGTTCGTTTAGCTGATTAACTGGAACCAAACCTATGAACGTACCATAGTTAGATTATTTCTTAATAACACTCCAGGTTTGGTGTAAATAAAACTTTGATTTGCAGTAAATAAAAGCGAAAAACGATAAGCAGTATCTATATGGTGGCGCCCCATATTGGCACTGTTGAACAAGACCAAAAGTTGTAAAAAAAAACAGTGCCAAAATATGACGGTCATATAGTTTAATAAAGTTTTAGACTTTTCTAGCTTTTTTCAAAAGACGATGAAGTATTCAATGTAAGAACATAAGCGAATATTATCAAGAAATAAAGTCTTAAATTAACACTTTCTTTATGAGGAATCACTCTCAGATTTTCTGGCAGAAAGAAAACCGTTCAAGATAATAACAAAAACCGTGAAGCGAAATTATTTTACAAAACTTGGTCTTTTACAGCATTGCACTGTAATGGTTCTAGATTTATAATTACAGCCACCATTGAGACGTAATGTAAACATATTTTAATACTCATTAGTTAAGTATAATGTTTTTTTCATCAAATACCAAAAGCTTTAATTTCATCACCCTATCCGTTGTTGCAGTAAAAACAAGTACTAATTGATTTTAATAAAAAACCAAAAACATATCATTTAGAGGAATTGAGGTGTGAAAAAACTTTAAATATAGTTGTTTGTGAAAATTAACGCAATCCCAATACAACCTTTAGCCTACAGTTGCTTGAAAATAAGAAATGACACCTGGTTTTTTGATTACATTGAAAACAGAACCAGAATGCTGAGAGTAAAGATCTGATTTTGATACCGAAAAACACCAAAAGTTTCTTGTCATGAATTTTAAATAATATGCATAACCATTGCTTTGTTCGCTCACTAGGATTTGCCAAGTTTAAAAATAACTGGAAATTACTGGCTTATCTTTCGACTTCAGTGACCTTTAAGCTAAATAAACCAAACTTTGCAAGTTTAAAAAAAGTGAAATAGATACCGACTTTTATTCAGAAAAAAAATACCCCAAATAGAATGTGAAAGTTTACTACTGCTTCCACTGTCTCTTTTACATAACCGTTACTATATTCGGTTTTCCTAGCAAACTGTCGTTTTCGACATATTTACGCTTAAACTGTAACCGTTTCATAATCAATATTTAGACAACCACTACAGCTTATGGATCATTTTCAGATGTTGAAAACTAAAGATACTGATATTGTTATCCTATGGTTTGTAGACTAACAACTTCTGCGTCAGTGTTGGACTTCACTTTCCCGTTGACAAATTCTTAAGAATCAATGGTTTCACTAACAAATTATAACATATAAAATTTAAGTTTTACTTTTTAATAAGAGGCAAGCAGCAAATAAAAATTTTACAAAGACACACTTTTTTGTTATGCAAAGGTTTTTAATCAGAAGTGAACACTCTGTTTAAGTGCTAAATAAACGACAAATAAAAAAAAGCATATTGGCAGACCTCGAGCAGCTAATTGTGCTTCTTGTTCGTCCCGTTTTTCATCTTCAGTATTCAGTGTAAAGAATTTAAGTACCAGCAAATTTATAGAAGCTGAAACCATCGTTAGACCAACAACAATAAATATAAGTGAAAATAACACATATTCCGGCGTACCCTGCAAGGCATTATCTGTCTGCATTGCTACAAAATCACCAAAACCTGAAAAATTTTCTTGAAGTAAAGTGAATTTTGTTTGCGTAATTAATTTTTACAAAACTTTTCAATGCGTTTTTTTTTAGACGGTTAACATCAAACATGAAAAACGTCATCAAAAAGCGACTAAAATCTTTCACAGGTTTTCTGATTCATTGTTGACAAGAAATTGGTTTAAGAAAAAAAAAAAGAGCTAAATTTAATTTTTAAAACAAAAGAGTGAAATAAAATAAAACTGCTATCTTACCAATAGTTGTTAATGTAGTAAAGCAGTAATAAATGCTATCAAAGTAGGACCATTTTTCATAGCTATGAAAGACATATGCACCCGTTGCAATAATAAATGAACCACTACCAAATGTAACAATGATTAAGTCAATATGTGTCACATTTGCCGGTTTGTTCATCGAACGTCTATAGTTTTTCATTAACATCGCAGCAAATGTGTTAATTCTGCAATTTTTAAAACTGTGCTTTTCGAAACACGCTTAAAAATTTTTTCCTAATTCGGCCACTTCAATAATTAGCCAAAAGCAACAGTTTGTTTTCGTTTCCCACTTTTCTGCTCGCCAAAAGTTATGCTTCTTTTTTATGCAACAATTAAATCTGAAGCTTTACCAATCGGTATAAATTGGATAAACTATTATAATTTTCAGCATTTTACAGCAAAAAAAAACTTTTTTTTGATCATTAGAGCAAATGAAAAAAATTCCAATATCTGCACTTGTTGTACTCAAAAAATTTTTCTCTTATAAACTTCAAAAAATCATTCAGAACCTCGAGAGTAAAAAAGAAACTTTCTAGTAAGGAATACTAGATCAATCTCTTCCCTATAGTTGACAACATAGTTTCCAATTCAAAACTTTCTCAAGATGTTTACTGATTCTTTTGTTGATACTATTCTGCATACCAATAACAAGATTTTGTTTCATACTTTCTTCTCAATAACATCGTTTAATGAAGTAAAACAGTAAAATGTAAGAGAAAGAGAAAAACCGCTAAAAATTTTTAAAAAATAGCTTTCTAACACATCACCTTTCGCCGATACTTTGGAACATAACGAGTCCTAATGGTATTCCAGCGATCGCATAAAACATACAAAATATTTTTCCACCGATTGTTGTTGGAGTACTATGACCGTAACCTTGAAAATCCATTGAAAACATAGAAAGTCATCATCAACGAAAACTTCACATAAACCAAAAGCTTATATAATTTTTGAAATACTAAAAAAAATTTTTTTTTCTGATATTCAAAAGTTAAATGTACAATTTTGGTTTTTTGCGAGCTTATTTTTGCTCTAAAATTATATGGTTTAATCAATAAAGGTAAAGTAGCTTAGAAAAGTGTAATAATGACTTTAAAAATTCTTATTTTTTTTATTAATAACGAGACTATAAAGGAATATTAGCTAACTTTTGTTTTTCAAAATATAAAAACAAAAATTTTTTTTTGAACATTTACCAATTGTCGTTATAACAGTCATCGCAAAATAGAAAGCACCACTAAATTTCCACTGGTGGCCAGCTTTATGTGGTATAGATTTAACAATTATTGCTTCTAACATATCATAGTCTGTTTGTGTTATATTGTATTTTTGCCTTAACTTGTCACGCATTTGTGCAACAAAACTTCTCTGAAATTTATTGTTCAAGAACAATGAATAATTATTCCAAAAAAAATTGATATTATCCTTCTAATGCCTCTATTTTTCTCATATTTTTTCTCCAGCATTTCTGTACTCACTAATAATATGACAAACACCTGAAGTGATAATAACGACAAAACGTTTCCTTCAATTAAGTAGCTCAAATGTCAAAACTGTTAGCATTGTATATATATATATA